ACATAGCATGTATTTAGGCGCCTGGTGTTAGCAGACGCGCCTAAACATACCGGGCCCCCTAGACGACTTGGTCGTCTAGTGGATATAACAAAAGCCGCAAATATCCGGCTCGAAGGACCATGAATAACTCAGTGAGAGGGGAGACCAGTATGTTTGCATGTATGTATATAAAAAAATATTTATTGGACCAAAAAGTAGTGGGTAGGCACTGTGGCCAATGGTAATCAACTATTACCACCTCCGCATGGTTGTAAGCCATGCAGAGTCCGCAGAAGACTCCTGAAGCAGTGTCCGGAGGATGCATCCGACTAGGCAGAGCATACTTTGAATTGCCATCTTATTGAAACTTAAGAAAGTTCAATTACTTGGCAGTTGAGAAGTGCATGTGCAAAAATTTCCTAAATTGCATAAAGGAAATTTTTGCACATGCAGCAGTACATAGCATGTATTTAGGCGCCTGGTGTTAGCAGACGCGCCTAAACACTTGGATAGCACTGTTCTCTCTGATCTTAACAAAAAGCTCTTTCTAAGATGTCTATGATTAACACAACTGAAAACTCTATTCTAAACTTAAAACTGTATTTTAACAAGAATGAGTTTTAACTTGCGACTATGACTAGGGGCCAATGTAAATAAGATAGAGGAAAACGAGTGCTGCCACTTTATTAAAAATAGTTCAGCTTTAAAATTCATTTTATGTAGGGTTGAGGTTTTTGTATTTATAAAGTATTTGTGCGTTCAACTTTTTGCGTAGCCGGCATACGGCCGCGCTTTGGGATTATAACCCTCATTACCTAGAATTCTCTTTCTGTTTTGCGAAGAAAAGAAGCTGAACACCTTTTGCAGAGAACACCTTTCTGCGTAGACTTCGCAAGATTGTTGTGCGGAATTTTCAAGACCGGAATATTGCAATTAAATAAACAATTTTGCACATATGTTTCATTTAATACATAAGAAATGTACAAAAATGTTGTGACCGTGTCACGCGTTTATTTCCTATATCGACAAAAGTTAAAAAGGTCTGTCACTAACTTAGTACAAAACAGTAATAATCACAGTAAAGTGTGTTTGCATTGTTCAACTTTGCGTTCAACATTTACGTTCAACTCAGCGCAGGGTTGCACGAAAAAAAAGTTGAATGGCTAAAAATATCAAAATATGAAAAAATATCAAAATATTCGCCATAAAAAGGTGTTTGCATTGTTCAACTTTGCATTCAACTTTTGGTTGAATGGCCTTTCAACTAATCGCTTTCAACAAAGTTGGTCGCCAGCCAACATTTAGCCATTCAACTTTTTTTTCGTGCAACCCTGCGTTGAGTTGAACGCAATTGTTGAACGCAAAGTTGAATAATGCAAACACTGCTGTATAGACAGTAACCAACCTTTTTGGGTTGTTGTTGTAGTAGTCGTTGTTGTTGTAGTTATATTCACTCCTGAGGAAGGCACGGGGTTGTGTACTGCTATTTAATGGCCTTCCTCATACTTTTTATTAGATTTCAGGGTTGTGTGCTGCATAATTATTAGATAAATAAATTTGAGCATTTGACAATACCTGATTTTATTAAAAGAAAATTATAAATGGTGTTGAAAAACCAAACAAACGCTCGTGCGAAAGCTCTATTTTTGTGTGTTGTTAAAATTTATACATGGCGTATTGATGGACAAGCAATGTATTCTTTTGTGGATTTTATGTTGCTTGAGAATTTAGACAACGTGCGAGCTGCCAGGTTCTGTTATCAATATAATTAACACAAGCTTTTTCGCGTAGCTGCCTTTCAATAAATAGAATAAACAAATATTTGCAAATTAATTGGATTTATTTTATAAATGACAACTAACGTACGATTTTTGTTCTTTTCTCCATTTTGATTTTGACTTTTTATTACCGCCAACAACTTTATGTGTATACATATTTACAAGCTGTCAAAATTTTGCGTAGTCCCATGAGCCAGGTAAAAACTATGGCATTCGTATTCACAAGGAGACATCTCAAAATTTTTGTTAGGTATTTCCAAATTTTCTCTTTTTTATCAGTTGGCAAAAGCCCTCAGTGGCAGCGCTCCGAGCGTTGAGATAGTAATTTCATGTCAATTAGTAGAAAAGATCCATGT